GAAATGGCAATGAGAACTACAAAAATAAGCATAAAGACACAAAGAGGAGAGACAGAGGAATTCAGTATAAATAAAGGGATGAAACAAGGAGATGCCTTATCAACGACGCTATTTAATCTAGCATTAGAATATGTACTGCGAAATATAAATAAAGGAAATCTCAGAACAAGAGGTGGTCAAATAATTGCATATGCAGATGATATTGCTATTATTGCAAAGAACAGAAAAATAATGAAAGATATGCTTGAAGAAATAAGAGAGAAAGGGGAGGTAATGGGGCTAAGATTAAATCAAGAAAAGACAAAAATATTAAGATTAGGGAAAAAACCAATGAAGGAAAAAATCAAAATAGGAAGTTCCGAGTTTGAAGAAGTAGAATACTTCAAATACCTAGGTGTTACAAAGTAAATCCGGAGAAAGGAAATCAGAAATAAAAGAAAAAATATTAGCAGCGAATAAAGCTTATTTTGCAAACAAAAGATTACTTTAAAGCAAAACACTGACTAAAAAAAGCAAGATGAGCATTTATAATACCATAATTAGACCAATATTATTATATGCAGGGGAAACAATGACGATGGTTAAAAAAGATGAAGAAGACTTAAGAATTGCAGAGGGAAAGATTATGAGAACCATACTAGGACCAATCAGAACAGAGCAAAATGAATATAGAAGCAGAACAAATGCAGAAATTAAGGAAGAACTTAAGGAAGACATTGTAACTAAAATAAAGCAATGCAGAGTTAGATGGTTAGGTCACATCTGGCGAGCAGGCGATGAGGCAGTGACATACGCAATGATAGAATGGAATCCAGGAGGAAGAAAGAGAAGGGGAAGACCGAGATCAAAGTGGCTGCAAGAAGTTGAAGAAGACCTCCAAAAGGCAGGAGTCAGTGAATGGAGAGGAAGAACTAGAGACAGGAAAAAATGGAGAGATATTGTCAAGAAGATAAGATAAACAAAAAAAAAAGACTGATCCACTTAAGAAATAGGATCTAGAAAGCATTTGCGGTTTAACCCCACGTTGGGGTGTATAGCCATTATATATATATATAAAATAAAATTGAGTAGTTCTATAACCGATGCAGCCGGTCCCAAGCTCGGATAAAAGTGGAGGGACAGAGGAGTAACATCTCTGAAAAAACCAGGATTCAACTTGCCCGGTTGATAGTACCCTGTAAGGGCACCTTGTCTAGGATTACAGACGAAGGGTAGATGATGCACTTAAGCTGCAGTGAAAGCAAATTGTCAAGGAGGCGGAAAACTCCAAAATTAAACCCTGGCCCTCTAAGTCGGGGGCTGAGGCATCGGGCTAACTCCCCGTTACTCAGAAAAATAAAAAACAATGTTTTTTATTTTTCTGAGTAACGGGGAAAAAAAACCCAGCAAAAAACCGTGGAATGCATCAATCAACAAACGACGACGTACGCTACGAAAAAGGAGTATGAATTTCGGAACAGTAATCACCGAAACAAAACGAAAGGGCCGTGGATCAGAAAACATCGGAGAATATGATCACTTTTACACTGGGGTACCAAAAAGCTCAGCAAGGTCCTTATTCTAAGGTCCAAGAGCCATATTAATACGTAAGAAGCTAAGGAAATACATATCTACTTGGGAGGCCATAAACAAGAGACTCATAAAAATAAACCTTATGATTAGAGGACAAAAATGCACAATCTTAGGTGTATATGCAGTAAATGATGACGCACCAGTAAACATTAAAAACGATTTTTTTGAGAAATTAAATTTAGAGGTTGCAAAAGTGGACACACCTCGAGAAATTATCATCTTGGGATACTTTTCTGGATTACTATTCTGCTGTTTAATACTTAAACAGCAGAAAACAGTTAAAGTCAATCATAGACTACACAATGATACGACTAAAGATAATCATGATTGTACAAGATGTAAGAGTATTGAGAGAAGGTACCTGTGGAACCGATCATCACTTAAAAGCTAAGATCACATTTGGAGTAAATAAACCTAAAGAAGAAAAAGAACGAAATGAAAGGGAGAAAGTAATACAGAAGAGGTATAACCTAATCAGCTTAGAACAAGAAAGCGTGAGAGAATTATACAGAAATAGATTAAATCAAAAATTGATTGGAAAAAAAATTTGATAATAATAAGGAACAATACACTCACATAAAAAGGTGTCTCCAGGAGGCAGCAACAGAAGGCACTAGATACCAAATCCAGAATAAAAGAAAACTTCCAAATTGGTTTGACGAAGAAATAAAACAAGAAATAAAGAAGAAAAGAGACTAATATCAAAAATTCTTAAATATAAAGAGTATAACGGATAAAATAATCTACAAGGCGTCTAAAGCTAAAGTACGAGAAATGATATGTCGGAAGAAAAATGAAGCATGGCAACAAAAGTGTAACATGATAAATTCACATCTACGAAGACGAAAAAGCACAGAGTTGGAGAGTCTTAATATCTTTACGACAAGATAAGAAGGGAGACATAGTGTCAAAAATAACAATGGATGACTGGGACCAATATTTTGAGAAACTCCTAAGGGGAGATAGACCACAATTTAAAGACAGCAACGAAACACAAAATATAAATATTTTAACTTCACCCATACGAATAACAACGAAAGAAGTGAAAGATGTATGTAGATCTCTAAATAATAACAAAGCACCGGTTCCAGGTAACATCCCTGCAGAGTTAATTAAACACGGTTCAACCAAACTATATACAAGTTTAGCCAAACTGTTTCAAAATTGCATTAATGGAATGACAACCACAGAGGAGTGGAAGACATCACTCATAGTCACTATATTTATAGTCACTATAGTCATTGCCGTGACAAACTCGATCAGAAGAGTATACGGAAAAGTAATTAAAAACAGAATAAAAAGCGAATACAAAGACTTACAGGCTGAGGAATAGGCAGGATTTAGGGCAGGTAGATCTCCTGTTGACCATTTATTTTGCATTACACGGACTATTGAAAAGAAAATAGCCGTTAATCAAGAAGTACATTTATTGTATGTAGACCTACGAAAGGCTTATGATAGCGTATCTACCACATTATAAATTATGGAAAGCGTTAGAGAAAACAAACATAAGCATGAATTTAATAAATGTGACGAAGGAACTGTACGTTAATGTCAACTCAAAGGTAAAGGTTGGAAATAATATGTCGAGTGGATTCCAAATGAATTAAGGCGTTAAGTAGGGCTGCTGTCTCTCCCCGACAATATTTAAAATTTATCTAAAACAGGCTCTAAAACTATGGAAGCGTAAATGTAGAAATATGAGAATGCCGATTAACAACAATAGCATATTATACACTTTGTCATTTGCAGATGATCAACTAGTGATAGCATAAGATTATGAAAATATTGAGTATATGACTCGAAAATTAATCGAGGAGTATAAAAAATGGGGACTTGAAATCAATATTCAAAAAACCGAGTATATGTGTATCGGCGGGAAACAACAGGACATCATATTGGAAGATGGAGAAGTTATCAAACATTGCAACGCATATAAATATTTAGGTATGGTCATCACAAAAGAAGGCAACGTAGACGACACAATTGAGGAGAAAAACAACCAAGCAAGAAAAGCAATTTCCCTTCTCAATAGTATCCTTTGGGATCAATCAATTTCTAATAATAACAAGCACAAGATATATACAATCATTAAAAGTATAATTAAACTTTGATGGTACACAAGGCAAATATCGAACACAGTAGTTAATCAAATCTTGCCCAAGTACTTTCGATCACAAGATCATCCTCAGGGGCATTTCGTCAGTTGTGGCCTATCCAGCAGTAACAGAATGTCATAAATGTAAATTGGGACATAACAAATACACTAAACAGAGACAAACAAACACTTTAAAATTTACGAAATGGAGAAGCTACATTTTATATAGAAGCCGGAGACGGAATTGGCGGAAATATCTCAATATTTCCGCCTCCGCCAGGCTGGGAGCCATTCTGTCTCCGGCTTCTATATAAAATGTAGCTTCTCCATTTCGTAAATTTTAAAGTGTTTGTTTGCCTTTGTTTAGTGTATTTGTTATGTCCGAATTTACATTTATGACATTCTGTTATTGCTGGATAGGCCACAACTGACGAAATGCCCCTGAGGATTATCTTGTGATCGAAAGTACTTGGGCAAGATTTGATTAACTACTGTGTTCGATATTTGCCTTGTGTACCATCAAAGTTCATTTATTCGAACATTCAACCTTATATTGATTGAAAAGTATAATTACCTACAGTAATGAAGTATGGCAAATAAAGGAAAGATACAAGAGAAAACTTGAGGCAACGGAAATGGATTTCTGGAGACGTTCAGCTGAAAAATCTAGACTAGGAAGAGGAACAAACAACAGAATAAGAGAAATTATGAAAGTTAAATATACAATAGTGTACGATATTGGTACCCAACAACTCAGATGGTACGGTCATGTACAGAGAATGTCGGAAGAACGTCTCCCAAGACAAGTCTTAATGTGGACCCCTCACGGTAGAAAAAAAAAAGGGGAAGACTTCGCCTTAGTTGGACAGAAGGCATCAATAGAGAAATGAAAGACAGAGACATAGAAGAAGACTTATGGATGAATATATATATATATATATATATATATATATATATATATATATATATATATAATTAACTATTTAAGACGCTTTATATAAAAACTAAATAAAACAGATATATAAAAACTAAAAATTCAGAAACTAATGAAATTAAAACATGAGAACGGGAACTGTGCAACTAGATAAAGGTAGAGATAAACAGAAAGTGATAGTAACATTTGGTGAGATAATAAGTAGGAAAAATGTAGATATAAATAAAAATAATCAGCTAACACGATCGTAAATAAGAATAATTTTTAAAAAAGGAATAATAACCTTCTCACCTACTATTAGTTACAATCAAAACCAAAAGGCTCTAGCTGAGAGGATAGTTTTGTGCACTGAGATGTCCACCAACATACGAGAAACGTATTACTATCTGTACTTACCGCACATGATATAAAAAACTTTATGAAACTCACAATTAAAAATGGAACTGTAATAATCAACACGAAGTAGACTCCTTTCTATAATAAACCATCACTGCTTACTCAACTCAAGAAACGAAAGTTACACAACGAAAAAGTTACTAATATCGGATGTTGTGTGTAGTACCTTATCTCTCTCATACACAATACTCGTAAATTGTGCAACAAATCGGAACCTAGTCGACCATATGCGTTAGTATCGGTTCCGCGAGTACTCATATCCAGTCAACTCTAGTAGTTCACCTCGAGTATTGTATACTCCAAGAAATTTATATTTTTAAAAATTTGTTACTCGACTATAATTTGTCAGTTCGAGCTGATAGTACCAAGGCTAGTTCCTGTTCGGATCAGTGACCGTGAACTCTTTGCTACCAGTCTGCGGCTGCGGCCGATAGAGAATCTCCTTATAAATCTCGACTTGCAGAGGACTAGACACGTTCCAAGAAGTCGAGGATTTTATCGTCTAACAATTTTTTGGATTAGGTATTATTTTAAATTTTAAGTTCTTACGTAAGAGTAAAACTGCAATGATAAAGTAATAATGTTAAAATATTTCATCATTTTTATTTTAATACAAACGCATTTTTTTATATTTATGAAAAAATCGTTGTATTGGTATTTACATAAATGGGAGCGTGTTTGAAAAAATGCTTGAACATATTGACTCGTATTTTTTGTTCAACATAAACTTTTTATACAAGGTGTAGCATGTAACACGGGGAGATACATTGGAGATTTTTGCGGAGGCAAATAAATTAGTAATAATGAACACCTGGTTTAAGCTACACCCAAGGAAACTGTACATCTGGAAATCTCCACAGGATACTGTGGGAAAGATTGTAAGAAACCAGATTGATTACAATCTAGTAAATAAGAGGTATAGGAACAGCTGCACATCTGTCAAAACATACCCGCGGGCAGACATAAATTCTGATCATGTACCAGTTGTAGGTAATTTCAAAGTCAGAATGAAGAAGGTTACAAGTAAGTCGATGAAGAAGTATGATGTTAGAAAACTGAAAGATCCCAATGTTCGACTGAAGGTGAGTGGAAACCTCAATACAAGAGTGCTAACATGCAAAAATGCAGAAACTATAGAGGAAAGTCTGACCATCATACAAGAAACAGTGAGAGAAATAAAAGAACAACACCTGAAGAAAGACACAGAGAAACGCAAATCGTGGATGACCGATGAAATACTTGAGCTTATGGATCAGAGAAAAAAAAACAAAGAAAATCTCGAAGAATATAAGAGAATACATACCATCGTCAGAAGAAAAATAAGAGAAGCCAAAGAGAAACAAAAACAGAACAATGTCAAGAAATAGAAGAGTATCAGAGTCGATATGATAACTTCAATGTTCATCGAAAGGTGAAGGAAATAGCTGGAAAAATTCGAAAACGCAACAGCGGAAAAATACCAGATAATGAAGGCAATCTTGCCATAACCAAAGAAGATAAAAAAAGTATGGGAAGAATACTTGGGGAAACTTTTCCATGACATTAGAACAGTACAAGAGCCCACCGTTGAAGAAAATTCAGGTCCCGAAATCCTACCAGAAGAAATAACGGCAGCCGTCAGACAAATGAAGGATGGAAAGACACCGGGACTTGATGAAATTCCTGCAGAACTGCTGAAGCTATTAGATACAGAACAAATAAAAATAATAACTGATATATTTAATGAAATATACAAGGCAGGAAAAATACCAGTAGAGTGGCTCAAATCGGAGTCGTACCATTGCCCAAAAAACCAGGAGCAAAAGTTTGTGAAGATTATAGGACAATAAGCCTAATGAGCCATCTGCTAAAGCTGTTTTTAAAGGTCATCCACAAAAGAATTTACCGGAAATGCGAGGAACAAATTGCGCCCAATCAGTTTGGATTTGTGAACGCCGTTGGTACGAGGGAAGCTTTATTTAGCATGCAGATCTTGTTTCAGAAATGTAGAGATGTCAGCTGTAATGTTTTTGCATGCCTGATTGACTACAAGAAGGCTTTCGATAGAGTCAGGCATGAACAAATGATGGAAGTTCTGAAGAGGACAGGGATTGATGGAAGAGACTTAAAAATTATAGCTAATCTGTATTGGAATCAATCAGCGGTACTCCGAATAGATGGAGAATATACAGTACAGGTCAAAATCTTAAGAGGAGTGAGACAGGAGTGCATAATTTCACCACTGATATTCAATCTGTACTCGGAGCACATTTTTGAAGAGGCTCTAAAAGATATTGATAAAGGCATCTCAATAAATGGAGTCAAGCTCAATAACCTGCGGTATGCAGATGATACATTAGTGTTTTCCAACACCTTAGAAGGGCTGCAAAACTTAATGAATAAAATAACGGAAACAAGTAGAACATATGAACTGGACATAAACACCAGCAAAACCAAGCTAACGATCATCAGCAAGCAAAACATAACTGGAGCAAATCTGTATGTGAACCAAATGAGAATTGAACGTGTCTCACAATACAATTACTTGGGAACTATAATCAATAAGTCGTGGGACAATACCCAACAGATTAAATGTCACATCGGAAAGGCCGAAAGTGCATTCTTGGCTATGAGCTCTGTGTTCAAAAGCCATGACCTCACCCTGAAAACAAAAATAAAGCTCCTTAAATGTTACGTGTACTTAGTGCTTCTGTATGGAGTAGAAACGTGGACATTGAAGGCGCAAACTCTATCAAAACTTCAGGCCTTTGAATTATGGTTATACAAAAGAATCCTGAAGATACCATGGATGAAGAAGAATATCCTGGCTTGCTAACCGAAGAGCATGGTATAGAAAGACCTCAACACAGCTATTTCGTATAGCAACCAACAAAATCAGCATAGCCAGAATGATCGCCAACGTTCGGAACGGACAGGCACCCTCAGAAGAAGAAAAGTAGCATGTAACAGTTGCCGATACCAAATTTCTTATGGAAAGTATAGGTTTGGAGAAGACGATACAACTTTGAACTTTATAGAATATACCAGGAACCTGATATCGTAAAACACATTAAGATAGGACATCAGAGGTGGATAGGGCTTGCAATACGGATGGAACAAAATTACCCAGCTTTAAAAACGCTGAGATGAGAAATTTAGTACTTTGCGGAGAAAGGCGATGGATAGGGACGATAGGGATAGATTATTATCTGGTATTATTTTAAAGGTTAAGTTTAAGATAACACTTCGCTCATTTCTGTTCCATATTCTTAGTTTTCCGTAAGTTTACTTCCAGAGCTACACTAATTTCAGATTTCTCGAAGGGTAATTTTACGACTTTATTAAAGCCCTGTATAGATACAGTTGTTTTTTAGTTTTCGGATTAAAACACTGAACTTTTGTTAATTACTATTCTATTCCTAGAATTAAATTTCCATACCACTTAGAGCGAGTATTCCTCGGTGAACTATAAAATAATTTAAGCTCGCCCGTTTTCCAGCGGTCTTTCCTCATCCAGACGCTCCGCTCCTTTCGGCTTTCCAGCAGAAAAGTCGACGCTTTGTATCAGGGCACCAGAAAATGCTAAAGATAGAACGATTTTCATCCCCTCTTCCAAATTTAAATAAAAACAAGGCACGTGCCTCCTACTTAATGAAACATTAGGTACACATATTGTCTCCCCTTCAAATACACGAAAACATACATGTACAAACGTTATGTTTGTGGCTTCCTATTTTTTGCGTTTGTGTATACTCTCAGAACGAGTGAGTGCCATATGGCCGCGACATGGGACAGCTGGAACAAATACCAATTTGAAGCGTGTGTAGAATGTCTATTATTTTTCGAGTTTAGTCGAATGTGTATCAATATATCACCACTTATTTATGAACATTATAGGCTAATCTAACGTTTCCAGAGTACACAAATATTCAGAAAACTATCTAGCATAATTTTTTTTAATTGTCACTTGGGGATGTAAATTTTTCTGCTCAGCTACCGTTAAGGGCATGGAGAAATAATTTGATTATACTAAATACAACAGAAAACTAAAAATTCAATCAAAATATTTGATTAAAAAAAGGATATATTAAAATGTATTTAAATCAGAGTGTACAACTATATAAACATTTGTTCTTAAGTTGTTCTTAAGCTTCTGTCGCAATTTCATAGAAATATTGCAATTTACTTCTCCTATCAAATAGAATATGTCGTGAGTACATATTATATACGTTCCTAACATAACAATAAATAAATAATAATAAATATAATATAATTGATTTAAGATAATACTGAGTTTTTAGTTGATAATTTAATGAGACAAAAAAAAAAAAATAGGAATTCATAGTAATATGTACATAGATAATTACTGGCAAATATTAAATGTTGAATGCCGACCGAAGACTCTTCTAGTAGCCCAGTCTGGTTAGGCAAAAATCATCGATTTCACGGCAAAATTTTTCACAGATATCTGAAGCTTTTAAGACATAGATGGGGGTTACTAGATGACGGAATAGATGAAACGGTACTCGTATTTTTACCTTACACTATTTTTAAAATTTTATTAATTTTTTTTAGTAACAAAATAAAATATTATTTGAATATCAATACATTTGAATATCCAGGAATTACCGTCTTTTAAATTTGTGCGAGTACCCCCTCTGTGGCTCAGTGGTAAGAGCGCCTACCTTTGAACGTATAGGTCGTGAGTTCGAATCTCACCTGTGTGGAGAAATTTTTGTTTATTAAACATTAATACACGAAAATAATTTCTATCCTTGTGCGATCGGTACTCACCGGAGGGACCACAGACGTTCGGATACAATTAGCGTCTCTTAGCAAAGAAGCAAAGACAATGACATCGACTTTGCTAAGTATCAAGACAATTACTCTACACCTACACACACACTACACTAGGTATATATATATATATATATATATATATATATATATATATATATATATATATATATATATATATATATATATATATATATATAATTTAGCTCTCCAGGCCTAGAAGGCCCATGGCTTAGTTTACTATTCTTTTCTGTTTGTTGCTTTATTTTTCCAGTTTGGTATTTTAAGTTTTTCTATGTCTTTTTCAACATCCCTCTTCCACCTGGTTTTCGTTCTGCCCTTCTTCCTTTTCCCTCATATTCCTCCCATTAGCATTCTTTTTGGCAGTCTCGTCTTTCTCA